GCACACATATATATAAATATATATATATATATATATATATATATATATACATACTAGTATTGTGTTTAGCCTCACTGCTAAGCGCCTAGCCTCCTATATGCTCTTAGTGCGTCTATATGTTTATGTTAGCATCTGTGTCACGTGGTCCAACCCTATAACACATTCATCACCTGTGGCCTTAGAAGTGATTTCCATGTCGCTGTAACCTTTTTATAAATGACACATTTGTTTCAGTGGTTTAAACAGGTTAAAATCCATTTCAGGAACTTTAGTCTCTCACTAAGATTTATTGTGATTCAGTCCCTGCACGTTGATGAATAATGAGAAGCAGTGGGACATTTGGTCGGATCAATCTGAAGAAAAGACTTTTTTTTTACAAAAGCCTGACTAATTATGATCAGACATTCGATTAGTGTCTGGAGCTAAAGCAACAAAATTATAACATTCAATAGTTTTTTTTTTTTTGGTTTGTTTTCGAAAAAGTCAGGGTTAGCACAGAGCGACCCATTTTAACTTCCCGTTGCATCCTGCAGGCATATTTGTCCCACGCGGTGCACTGTGTCCTCATGATGATGAGGAAGGAGGCTCGCTGTTCCTCATGCAGGTTCAGTTAAAGTTACACATTAATATCCACTGATGACCTTTCGGATGAGCCACAGCATTAGTCTTGTGCGCTCTAACCTGTCCTGTGTGGACATAGAGTAATGTGCTGGTTGACCGCCGCCCTGACCCCTCCAGGCATTAGAATGTGGACCACATGTATTGACTGTGTCTACCTCCAGTGGAACACGCGATAAAGTCTAAAACAAATACAAAGCAAATGTGTTGTATGAAGTCTTATCTGCGCGCCGCATACTCTGCTGATGAAATAAGCTGTATCTGGTTTGTTCGGTTCCTGTTTAACGTGCACTGGCAGGCACGCATAACGTGCGTGCACGCACCTACGCAGCTCACGGCTCCTCCGCCGCACAGAAATCAGCTTCAACCTCCAAATACCATTGAACTCTAAATCTGTTTGTGTGCTTCCCACAACAATGGGGAAACGTTGATTGACAAGTTTAAATAAGTGGAAATATTAGCATCTTCATTCCAGCAAGTGTCACAATCACTTAGCATCTCCTCTTCTAGGATGCGACTAATAAAGGAGAGGTATTCTTGTTGCCGAACAAGCCCTCCTTTACAACCTAATTGCTTTTGGTTCAAGAGCTTAAAAAGTCATTAATTACAGGTCCGGCCTGTAATGGAGGTTAAGGTGGCTTTTTCACCAAGGTAATGAGCCGCCGTGCACAGTAGCCCATCTGATTTTGATCCGATAATAGAAGTGGTGAATAACATTTTTTTCCATCTTTGCCCAATGACAACCCGGGTTGAGAGGAGACAGGGGTCCTTTCATTGTGCTGGGGTGGGGGGGCAAAAAATAAATAAATAAAGGTGTCCTTTCATTGTGCTGGGGTGGGGGGGGCAAAAAATAAATAAATAAATAAATGCGCAACAGATAATTGAATTCCAAAGAGTGCTATTTGTTTAGTTGGCAGCATATTACGCTGAGGTGCAAATGGCCTTAGCCAAATGTGGATGACATCAAAATGATATGCATTGTGGTAGCAGTGAATGTAATGTGTTTGTATGTGCAAATGTGCATGTCCATTCTCTGGGTTTTCATTATAGTCTCCGTGGTGACGGTTGGATCGCTCTGTGTTTGTTTGCTGTTTGACTGTTGAGTGTTTTTATTTTTCCAATTCACTTCACGAGACATGCTATTTACTCCTCTCTTCTATTGATTACCTGCTGAGGATTTCAAACATGAAAATACACTTTCTACAGCTGTTATTTCACCGGAGTCGAGTGGCGTGTCAATCCACCGCCAGCTTTAACGATATACATGAATGAAATCCATATAAGTGGTTTGTTTCACACAAAAGATCACATTTTTTAAAATGGCCTTCACCAATATCTGTCAGGAACACGAGTGAACCTTGAGTGTAAACACGTTGCCCGACGCCTCCTGCGAGCTGCCGTCCATCGATCAGAGAGAAACAAAACACACAGCCGTTCCTTTCAGACTGCCACGGAGAGAACACTCAACAAAACATTTTTGTCCTATGACCTCTAACCCCCCAGAGATCTGATGGCATTTCATTGATGGCCTCCACCTCGTGAGGCAAGTGAAAATAGAGGGATGGTGAGAACGACGGAAGGGATGGGAGGGGAAGGGGAATGACAGCAGTGGTTGCTCAGTGACTTTGGAAGAGATTAGAAGATTGAGTTCACCTTTAATGATGGTGGAGATAGTCTTTCAGTTGGGGGGGGAAATGCCAGAGCTCAGCAGTTTGTTTTGTGTAGCTCTAAGAGCTTCCTGTGTCAGGTTCAGGTTGCCTGTCTTCCTCTCCGGCAGCAGCCCATTGTCTCTGCGCCACAAAAGGCAGCACAGTGTTGGGTGATGGACACCGCGACTCAACCCAACTCTGCTCCGCCACAGCAAATCTAACCTCCCGAGGGGGTTCCTCAAGGATTCTCATGACCGCACGTGTGGGTGGGTTCCATTGCGGAATTAATCCCCAACACATGTGCGCACACTTAGAACTCGTGCTGTGTAAAACTTAATGAAAAGATCGGTCGCCCACATGCAAAAAGTGTGATGTAATGTGAACAGGCCTGTTGTAGAGGAAAATATACACCTGTTGAATCTGTAGCAGGTCATTTGGTGAATCATTTACCAAATTAATTCTATTAAGTTAACTAAAAATATTAAACTAATTATTATAATTAAAGGAAAATATTGATATAAAAATATAATCTTGTTGCACTTTGGCCCAGAGGCTGTGTCTCTGTCATTGGTGTGGAACCCAG